CAGTAACCGTGCAACCTCCAGCTTGAATCAAGCTAAGCAAACAGAAAATCTTCCAGAGCGTCATTTTCTGGGAGGAATGTCGACCATGTGCTCTGATTGCAATGCACTCATGTGGGTTCAGGAACGATCGGAAGGCGGTGTTAGCACTGCCAGGTTTCAACTTTGCTGTGGATTGGGTAGATATGTTGTAGAGTCATTTCAACCAACTCCCGGACTCATTTCGAATTTGTTACGAAATAATGATCAAAGAAGCAAAGAGTTCAAAAGCCACATACGCTCATACAACAATGCTCTGAGTTTTGTTTCAATGGGTGTAAATTTAGACAGTTCAGTTCAAAACTCCCGTGGTGGTGCCTACGCTTTTCGAATTCATGGTAGTATTTACCACCGTATCGGGTCGTTGCTTCCATCTGAAAATGCAGCCCCGTCATTCGCTCAAATTTACGTCTACGATGCCGAAAATGAAATTAATAACAGGCACCGTGTCGCAAGCCATGTGGATATCAACACTTTGGCCGACTTACAAACCTTGATGCACGATATTAATCCCATTGTCAGAGATTTTAAAACGATGAATCAGTATCTAATTGAAAATCCTGATCAAGTTGCAGATGTAACAATGGTATTTAGAGCTGAGGGATTACCGGACCCAAGACGATACAACTCCCCAACTACATCAACTGAAGTTGGTATTTTAATATTGGGTAGTGATAGTAGACAGGAAGGGGATGAGGTTAAAATTCGTGATATCGTTATAAGATCCCAAAACGAGGGTCAACTGAAACGAATTAATGAGTTAAATCAAACATATGATCCAATGTCTTATTCCTTGATATTTCCTACCGGTCAACCTGGATGGCATTCATTATGCTCATCCGAAAGAGGTTATAAGGTTACAGCCATGCAATTTTATAGTTTTCACCTCATGTTTAGAAATAGTGGACATGATCTTCATCTTTTCGGAAAACTTTTCCATCAATACATTGTTGATATGTATGCTAAAATTGAACAATTTCGTCTAAACTACATAAGACATAATCAATCAAGTTTACGTACTGAACTCTACCGTGGATTACAAGACGCTGTTGCACACGACGATAATGATACAAGCTCTCTTGGACGCAAAGTAATTCTTCCAAGCTCATTCATTGGTGGTCCCAGACATATGTCCCAACTTTATCAAGATGCCATTAGCATTGTCAGACGTTTTGGAAAACCCGATTTTTTTATTACGTTTACATGCAACCCAACATGGCCCGAAATTAAAAATGAACTGCTTTTTGGCCAAACTGCGGCTGATAGACCTGATCTTTGTGCAAGAGTTTTCCGCTTGAAATACAAAAGTCTTTTAAATGATATCACCAAAGACCATGTTCTTGGTGTTGTTGTTGGATATGTTGGCGTAATAGAGTTCCAAAAAAGAGGTTTGCCTCACGCTCATATGCTTTTCATTGTCAGACCTGAAGATAAACCAAGAACTACACAAGATTTTGACAAAATCATTTCCGCTGAAATCCCTGACCAAGAGTTATTTCCTTTGGCATACGAAACTGTTACCAAAAATATGATGCATGGTCCATGTGGCGCACTTAACCCTAGAGCTGTTTGCATGAAAGAAGGAAAGTGTTCAAAAGGTTATCCCAAAACATTTACACCTATCACTACCACCGCAGAATCAGGTTATCCAATATACAGAAGGAGAAGAGATGGTAGAAACGTTACCAAACGAGGTGGTATTGTTTTGGATAATGTTTGGGTCGTTCCGCATAATGTTTATTTTTGTACGAAATACGATGCACACATTAATGTCGAAATTTGTAATAATGTATCCGCTGTCAAGTATCTTTACAAGTATGTTTACAAAGGCCACGATCGTGCAAGTGTTCAAATTAGCAATAGCGCTCAACAAAACAATTTGGTAACTCATGATGAGATTAATCATTTTGTGGACGCACGATATGTTTCTGCACCGGAAGCCGCTTGGAGAATATTTAGCTTTTCGTTGCATAAAGAGTTTCCCTCTCATCAACGGTTAAGTATTCATCTTCCTGGACAGGAAATGGTGTATTTTACAGAGGGTGCAGTCTTAAATGATGTCCTTGCTAATTCCGCGAACAAAGAAACCACCCTTACCGCTTGGTTTACCTTAAATCGAACAGACTTAGAGGCAAATCAATATTTGTACCATGAAATTCCAGAATATTATACATGGCAAAAACGTGAAACGTTTTGGAGGAAAAGACAGAGAGGTCTCCGCCAAACAATAGGTCGCATCTATTCTGTTTCTCCTAAAGAATCTGAAAAGTACTATCTGCGCCTGTTGTTAAATTACGTTCGTGGTGCTAAGAGTTTTGAAGATGTACGCACTGTTGATGGTGTTCTCTATGAAACATACCAAGCTACCGCCCGTGCAAAGGGTTTACTTGCCGACGATGAACAGTGGGATACGTGTCTTTTGGAAAGTGATACATTCCAATCACCTTTAATGTTACGAAGATTGTTTGCCACGATTTTGGTTTTTTGTGAACCGTCCTGTCCTTTTCAACTGTGGATTAAACACAAAGAAAACCTTTCTGATGATTATCTTTTTGCCCAGAAAAGACTTCTACCCGAAGGTATTTCTGTTTTAACTGAAACCATGAAGGAGACAGCTTATGGTAATTGCCTCTTGGACCTAAATGATATGTTAGATGCTCATAATATAACAATATCTGATTTTGCTGGCTTTAATTTACCTTCAATCGATACCCGAAATGGTAGCCATGACCAAGAATTTCCTGGAATGAGTAGACTTGAGCGTGAGCAGCGTGAATTGTGTCTTGAAGCCGAACGTTCAATGATCGATCCTGCTGAACTACCGTTTAATGCTGATCAACGTACTGTTTTTGAAACTGTAATGAACTTGGTCGACAGTGAAAAAATTCACACTCACACCCGTTTTCACTTAAAAGATAATCTTTGTTTTTTGGATGGTCCTGGTGGCACGGGTAAGACGTTTATTTTTAACGCTTTACTGCAAGCTGTACGAAGAACAAACCGAATCGCTCTTTCCGTGGCTGTTAGTGGAACCGCATCTCTTCTTTTAAAGGGTGGCCGCACTGCTCACTCCAGATTTGGTATTCCTTTAAACTGTGATCAAGCCTCAATGTGTTTTCTAAAACCAAGAAGTCAGAATGCATCGTTGATCGCGTCATCCACAATAATAGTTTGGGACGAAGCTTCTATGATTAGTCGAGATGTTTTGGAAACAGTCGATAGAAGTTTTAGAGATATCATGAAGCACCAAGATATGCGACTTGGCCGAGTTCCTTTTGGTGGAAAATTAATTGTTTTTGGTGGCGATTTTCGTCAAGTTTTACCGGTTGTTCCTAAGGGTACTAAAGACGACATCATCCAATCCTGTATGATCACTTCTCATCTTTGGAGTCATATAAAGCAGTTGAGATTAACAACAAACATGCGAGTACAACAGGCTCAATTGGTGAATAATCTGGAGTCGGCACGAGAGTTAGAAGAATTTTCGACACTACTTTTGAGTATCGGAAAAGGATTATACCCTGTACATCCAGACACTACCAATTCAATTCGTTTGCCTGATCAAATGGTCCTGCCGGGAAACAGTATCAGCACTCTCTGTCAACATGTTTATAACGATTTCCAGAATGATGCAGATATTTCCTCCCTCAATTTGATGTCAAAAGCGATTCTTACTCCAACCAATGCATTTGTATCAGATGTTAACGATTACATTTTGGATAAATTTCCAGGAGAGTTTAGAGAGTTTCTGAGTACCGATACTGCCCTTTCTGACAACGATGCTTTGACTTTACCACCAGAATTTATGAATTCTTTAGAATGTGGTAGTCTTCCCCCTCATAAGTTGAAGCTGAAAGTAGGCTCTCCAATTATGATGCTTCGTAACTTGGCTCCTGCGCAAGGTGTGTGTAACGGAACAAGACTAATTTGTAGGGCCTTTCTTTTGCATACAATTCAGGCTGAAGTAGCAACTGGACCGTATGAGGGTAACATTATTCTTATTCCCCGAATTACTTTGTGTTCTACGGTGCAGCAGGTAGGTGTTGAATTTAAGAGATGTCAATTCCCCATCAGACCAGCATTTGCCATGACAATCAACAAGTCCCAAGGCCAAACTTTAGATTCTGTGGGTTTATACCTTCCAACACCTGTTTTTTCTCACGGGCAACTTTACGTGGCTTTATCTCGAGTTAAAAGACCAAACGATATAAAAGTTTTAATTCCTCCCGAAACATCAACTATAGAAGGTGAGGAAGGAACCTACACATCCAATGTGGTTTACTCAGAAATCTTTCAAAATTAATATATTTTATTCGCTCTCATGCACATTTGTTTTCATTTAAATAAATTTTTATTCCTTATTCGTTTTTAACAGGCCTGCGGCAGCACGAGGTTTTTTCAAAGCGCAGCGTACCGAACCATAGTGAAGGTCAAAAATTTACCGGAGCGCAGCGAAGGTCAAAATTTTTACCGCAACGGAGGTTCGGTTTGAAAAAACCTCGTAAAATTAAAAAAGGCATAGACGAATGTAAAATATCAAAATAGTGATAAATATCAAAATAGCTTAAACTACTATATTTTCGTCATTTACCGATTGCAACAATTTTTTTTACGGCGCTTAACGCGTGTAAGACGATTAGGTTCTGCTACTGATTTATTTGAGTCCTCATTTAGCTTTCTGAAATTAGCACTGATGTGAGGAAGAGGATTGGAACCAAGTAATTCACAGACAGATTGGTTATCACCGAAATATTTACGAAGGAAGTTGAATAAAGATATGTTCTATTCCTCAAATACTACCTCAAATCGAGATGTTTTAGGAACAAAAAAACACATTCCCGTCATTTATATATTCTACACTTTATCGAGACTGGCGGATATTTACAAGCAAGAAGACACTGAACCATTAGCAAGAAATGAAAATGAGATAGGACGTCGTAACCGATAAATGGGTTTGCAAATAACTACAGATACCAGGCCCTGGTTTCAAAAGACTTCCAGTTTAAGTCTATACATTTTCCATCCATGTACGCAGTCAGTTCATTCTTAATGTTCGCAGGTCTACAGCTGTCTCTATTCGGCAATGGGACAAGAAAATACATTCGCTCTGTAATACACATTGGTTCAGCCACTCGCTTAGCATCAAAGTTCGAAAGAAAAGCCTTGGTTGGAACATTGGAGAAACCAAGTAGGTCAAAATAGCAATCACCATCCTTCCAAAAAGTTATATATTCGGCCCAGAATTGCTCCAAAAAATAGGCGGCAAACTTCGTCCCGAAGCCATATTGCATTAGACCTTGATTAACATTATAAACATTTTTGACAGTTGCAATATTGGAAATATCATACAAAAATAGAGGACAATGATCAAAAGGTTTTTCGATTCGCATCACGGAGTCAGTGATCATTTCGGAATACGCCTGAAGAGTAGGACAAGTTACGGGAGCAAGAGGAAAAGCATTGAACATTGTCGAAAGTAATCCTTCTAAGGTTGTCTCGGTATTGTTGAACAAATCATAAAAAGCTTCCGGCACGTTGGTACATCTTACGTAACCGTCCTGGAATCTACTCGACATGAATTGTTCGGTCGAATCAAAAATAACTGCACCGGGAAATGCCTGTTGAATACGAGTAGAATCGAAAGTATGCCCAAACATGACTCTGTCGCCATCGACGGCAAACGCACCAGGGAAAAACAGCACCTACTTTTATCATATCTGCTTGATGATACGAAATTGGCAGCGTCGGTTAAAGTTCAATCAGAATGCATCACGTTGTTGCGCATGTAGGTCAAGAGATATAACCCGGAGAACGACTGCGACAGAACGGAACCAAGGCATTTTTCGGCCAAGTCACTTAAAAGATTAACCAAGAGACGAACGTAATGAAGTCAAATGCGCGAATCAATGTGGATGAACGCTTCACCAGCAAAAGCAGACCTATCATTAAAAGCAGCATAATTAATAGAGTATCTAAAATGATTTACCTATAGAAAAACGTACTTCAACTTTGCGACTAAGACGTCGACGTAAGCCGTAGTGGCTAAGATCGCGGGGAAACAAACCTCAAAACGAGTAGTGAACTGGTGTCTTCGGTATTCGGAAGCACGGGCATTATACCATCTCTATTACAATTTTTTGAAGTAAATATATGGAAAACATTTCTATTAAATGTATTGCATACCATGTTCTTTAAATGATGACCTTCTTGATGACGAAAAGTATTTCTCATTTTTTCGGGTATCCATGGACCGGACACCTTTTCGTTTACACCAAGATGGGACATCGTAAACGGATACTTGATATCGTTATATATCATAACTTTCGAAGGCGTAAGAAGACTACCGGACCGACCTTTCCCCGAGAAGCCACCAAAAGAATCCAAAGACAATCCATAATAATCTGTCTTTATGGATGGATCACCAAAACGTTTTCCCATACTTTCGACTTTTTCCTCTTTAACGTACGATACCAATGGTCGGTCATCCTCGGATTCGGCAAATAGATTCAGGCCAATATCTACAAGGCAACTTTGAGTGTCAAGTTGGGGCCAGTCGACCATGGTAACAAGAATAGAAGTGTAATCCGGACCGTACATTGGGCTTTTTCCCCAAAGAAAAAATCACAAAAAAAAAATGCCGATATGGGGCCAAATCGGGACTTTCCTTGGCAATATCACGCATAGACTTGACTAAGAGCCTAAGCTCCGAACCAAGCAAAACTTTGCGCACCGTCATGTGAAATCCAGTACCAATGGCTTCGCCATAAGATCTACCAGATCTATTTGCACGAGAACAAATCAAGACACGTCGAATAGCCGGAATCAGAAGTCGGTCGGTAAACGTTTTTTGAAGGGCGGTACCCAACATTCTTCTGGGATTGCTTACACCAAGATTCATTTTTTTCATGTTCGGGAAGAGCACATGAATATTCATGCATGCTTCCGAAAAGGTCTCCAAAAGCAAAGTATGCGGGTAATTCTTAACAGAGTCCCTCTCACCACGAAACGTCAAGTACCCGAAGTCCAGACGAGTCATTGCTTGCTTCCAATTGGGGCTTAAAGACAGCTTCAAACGAGTTTTAGTCATGATTTTCAGCTCCTTCAATGGGTACGAAATTAAAGCATCGATGTTGACTTCGCAAAGGGTAGGACTATCCCAATCAGTCTCCAAATTGACAATAATTTTTCTTAAAACTGACTACAGTACCCCAGGAATGAATCCCCCAGTAATATATTTATAACATTCTTAACGACGTGTTTCGAAATAGCAGATTTTCAATATGATGATGTAACTTGACACGGAGTACAATATTAGGCACGGAATTTTCGTTTCGAGTCTGATCCAGACGAGATATATACAATGTAACAAAATAATATAAAACCGAAAACGCTTATACTCAAGGCGTCTTTTTACATAGTATGAAGTAAATTTCTAAGCTGAAAAACTTTAAACTGATATATTTTGCTCTAAAAGCAAATGCCACCGGATACTGGTCAATCTTTGCTAAAGATATAATGTTACAAATACAAAAATGGCCGTACTAAAGCTGAAATAACAGATTTTTGAACGTAAATGAACGCGCTGAACAACATTAGACTGATATTTTGCTCTTAAATCAGACCCCAAAGAAATAAGGATCAATGTTTGCAAAATATACAATGTTAAAAATCGTAACAAATAAAAAACATCTTATACCGAAGCCAAATTTTCAAAAAAAAATATGACGTAAATGTAAAAGTACACGACGATTAAGCTGCGACATCTTGTTCTAAAATGTAATCCCAACGAGACATGGATCATTTTGGTTTTGACTATTTGTTATATTGACAGACAACAAAATCAAAGTACCTGGCCAGCTAAGTTATCGAATGTTTACTAATTAAAAATTACAGTACATACTTTAAGCTGTACATACCAAATACTAATCGAAATGTATATAGGGTGATCATGTATTTACAAAGTTGTGGTAACATTATTGAAAGCACCACAGCACGTGAAAAATAACGGTTTGGAACAAGAAAAGTAGTAAAATAATCTTAAAATAATTTTAGCAAACGGTAAAGACTGTTGGCATTGAACATTAGAGAAACTAAAGATGAATTGTTGTGATATTCACGAAAGTACCTTAAAAAATAAACAAAAAAAATAAAAGTTTCGTTTAATAATGTTATCTGACACATTTTTGGAGCAATCAATATTATGCACATAGTTAAATGAACGTCTCCCAATCTGTTCTTTAAAGAATTGAAAATAAATACAAGAGAGCCAAGTACATAAACCTAAAAATACTTATAGAAAAATAAGTAAACTTGGACTGACACAGTAATTGGCATTGTTATAACAGTTCTAGTATTATATAAGGTATTCAACTACGAATTCCGAAGAAAGTAGAACAATAAAAGCCCAGATAATCTGATTTTTGGCAAACAAATCCGAAAGTTACAAAACAATTGTTCTTTATACCATAGGTTTGAACAAGTATTAGAAATAATTTTAGCATAGACTGGTTCGTTTCGAATTATGACATGAAGACCTTACATTCATTGCTGATAAACCAATTCCAAAATTGCTAAAGAACAATATGAATTTAGGTAAGTATATTTTTTGGGACAAATGCAATAGTTGGGAGAATACTTGGAGGGGTCATAGTACTTGCTAGAAAAACTTTGAGTAACTTATACAAAAGAGTAACCAAATAATGAACAACCATTGGTGAAATTATTAGAAACCACAACACTTGGCAATCCTTGAAAATTACTATCACAGAAATAACTGTAGGATAATTGAAATCCTTTTACAAGCCATAAAAACACTGCATACATTAAAAAAGAAGTAAACGGAAGAAGAATTGACGCAGTAATAAACAAAACACTTATTCAAGTATAAGAAAATAGAACATACAGCCCCTGAATATTCTTGAAGCCGGTTTTAAATACCCAAAAGTGTATCCAATGTTTAAATAACCTTTTTTACGTTACCCTTTATTATATAAAAGAAAAATACAACGATTTCGTCCCAAGCGGAAAGAAATTGCAAAAAAAGGACGCATAAGACAGACTTGCACAAATAATTATCAGAAATCGAAAAATATTTCTAAAGACTTGGGAATTCATTTTTTAACTATATAATAGATCTATTTAAGCAAGGAAACATTTAAAAAAAGTCTAGCCAAAAAAATAATCAGTTTATAAATAAAAATGTGATACTATAGGAGTACCATGTTGGGATTTATTACGGATTCTATCGAAAATAAATTGTAGCACGCTATAAAGTGAGCAGTAACGAGATAATTAGCTAGACCAGAAGGAGATTACTCATTAGCCAAAAAACTTAACATATTATTAGTTAAAGTAAAAAATACCGCCTAAAAAAATTACCTTTTCTGTCGTTTTGTGACCCAATTACACAAAATATTTTTTATTTTTTCGAGAAATGGAGAAATATAGCTCCTGTGTTTTCAAAAAAAATGTGAAAACTATGCGACAATTTTTTTATAATTAGTAACATATATTCTCGTTGATATATCCAAAAAAATATTATTTTCACTCATTATTGTGTGTGCTACATTTTTTCAAAGTTTCCAAAGCAATGTTACCTAGAGCTTGAGGAAAAACATATTACCGTCCAATAAGTGTCATTATATTATGAGTGATCATTTTATATTGTGGGCTTCACATTTGAATATGCTATTATCAACAAGTCTTGTCTATCTTTCTATTTTTTATTTATTATTTTATTTTATTTTATTTTATTTAGCTTTTTTAAAGTATGCTCTTTGAAGGGAGGCCGATGTCTAAATAAAAAGTGGAAACATTAAATTTTTTTTTTACCTCTGATACTAATACAGATTATCTCACTAGCTGATGTTATACTATGTCTTTCAGCCAGGATCAAAAACTATAACTACTGATACGTAACTACAAGAATTAAAAACAAATGAAATGTATTTACATTATATTCCGTGGAAAAAAAATCGTGTGTCATTGAACACACAAACGTACTTGTTAAAATTTTAAATCACACTTGGGTCTATCACATTTTACATTAGTAAAACAGTGCTTAGCTTATTTATCTGTTCGTTTGTTATGGCTAATACAGACAAAAAGAGCAAGCTTTTTTTTTAAGAAGAAGAATTTAAGCGCACTTAGGAAGTTGACTTTCTCCATTATGCTTTATGCTTTGTTAATAATGTCATGCATGAATAGAGAATACCGTGTCAAAAAAAATTAGGCCTCTTTTTTTTAAAAATCTCCATGTCTTTAAAATGTTAAAATCAGTGAGCGTTTGTCAAACAATTAAATACAGTGTTAAAAGAAGAGAGGAACTTATGCTATTAATGCTTCTTTGTACGTTAACGTGATGTTCTAATTATTGGTAGGCTGATTCTTTTATATTTAGCGAAACAAATTAAGAAACAAAATTGTGCATGTAACAAAAAAAATGTACTCAAGTATCTTCCTGTATAAATTTTATTCGTAAAAAATTAAAAAAAAAATCCTGTTTGATGTAAGAAGGTATGTTTTTAAAACGTCAGTATCCAAAGTATTACAACTTTATCAAAATGGAAACATTTCTGATATGAGGGCGTTTTTATGAATATCTTTTGCCCGTACAACGCACAAAATCTGTGATGGATTATTAAGCTTAGACCATAGTAACTAAAGTCAAAACGTATCTGTATCAGTATGTAGAAAATAGTTCTTTCTTCATTTTCAATGATTGAATTTACTCACGTGAGGTTATTACTTGCACTGTTTTTATTTTTTACATGCATACAATTTGACGGCGCACCCGGGAACTACTGTGATTACCATTCAAATTATTTTAAAGCCTTAAGTTGGCCATATATATCGTAGTTAATTTCAATCTTCCTAGATCGATATGAATTTATCGATAATAATAAATTAAGCATGTATTTTAGTTATTTAAATTGTGAAGCTTGATAGTGTGTCATCATCAATAAGAAATCAAAACAATACCAGAGAATGAACTGCACACATTTTGCAACCATGAGTAATCATGTCCAAACAATTTATTATGCTCAAATAAGAAATAAAACCAAGTTGTTCATGATGAATAAAATTAGCTGTTTCAATAAGTAGCTCTTGGTTGTTATGTAATGTACTTGTAAATACGTATTTATACTTTGCATATTTTAATATATGAAAAGCAATCTGTCAATGTCAGACATTTTTATTTAATAAATGTAGTCATATTTAAATTGTTGCTAAAGCGCTTTATTCATGCTTGTTTCTCTGGCTGCTCAGCATCCACACTCTTTTTAGGTGGTCTCCCTTTTCCTCTCTTTACATCACTTAAATTTTTTGCAGAAGCTGGTAATTGGGAACTTTCGCTTTGTTTTCTTGGCCTGCCCGGTTTTCTTTTAATTTGCTGTTGTGCCACATCATTGATTTCGTTTTGTAGCTGTAGTGGAGAGTTAATTTTTGCTCGTTTACCCTGTAAGTGGATACGGTTAAGACAACTTTGATGTATACATTTGTTTGTATACCAACCACTGTATTCAACTGTTTTTCTGCATCATTCGGAGAATCCATTCTTTTTTTGGATGGGTTAGTTTGAGAGGAATCTTAATTTGTAAATACTGCGTTAAAAAGTGGGACTTATTTTTTGTTCAAACAAGACTTAAAGTTTACCGTAAGAATTATGGTCACTATTCATGGAGTCTGAAGATAACATGCGGCGCATTGAACCAAATGAGATTTCTGATCCATTAGACGACATAGATGTATTCCTTTTTCTAAAAAATGGATGCACTGAGCTTTCGGATATACTGTTTAATTCGGTTGAACGAATAGGTCCTATATCCGCCGATGATGATATCAATAGATGATTCACGTTGTCTTGGATATGAGATGTACTCCCATAATCACGAGCTTTTCCTTTGTCACGCGACTTGAGACTTTCCAAGTTATTTGTTAAGTGTGGTACATATATATCATCGGTATTTACTGGTTGAATTATTCTTCTAGACTTCGGTTTTGTTGATTGGCTGTCAGATCGAGAGGCAGCTAATAAAAAAAATTTATAATCATGTTTCAATTTTTTTTTTATAACTGCACGTTTACCTTCACTAGACTCCTCTGTTGCGGTGTTTTTATTTGTACTTTGAGCATGTTCTGTTGACACAGTGTTACTGGACTGTTGAACTATTTCCTTTTCAATTTCTTCTACATATCTATGTATTCTATCTAAGTCTTCGTCAATTTCGTTTCCATCTTCGTCAAAAATAACTTGGTCAGTTTGTTTGATTTCTTCGTCAACAGATGTTACTGTATTGCTCTTTTTAGTTGGATAAAAAAAAGATTTAGGAGTTAGTAAAAATTCTATTCCAGGGTTAATGAAATACGCCATATTAAGCAAATTAACTTACGTCTTTTTTGTTTTCTGTAATTTTAAATCCGTCGTCATCGTCACTAGAATCTGAAAATCGTCTACTTGATCTGTAATATTCTGCCGCTGCTGCTTCTGCTTCCGACTCAGAATCATACTCTTCCTCAGCGTCTTCCATTTGACTACGATTATTATGACGGGTAGACGGTAAGACGTCGGGATCTTGAATTTCTTGATCATCCGCAAGATTTGTAGGTTGTCCATTATCTGATAGAGTGTCCATACGTTCTATTAATGTTATAAATATTAATAATTACCCATGTTACATCTACGTTTTTTTTTCTGATAGTAAAAATAGTAATAATACCCAAGTCATCATTGACAGCAAAGGTAGATTCGAAAAATTCAGGACCGATGTCAAAGTTTTGCACGGCGGAAAGATTAACCAGAAAGTAGCCTTCTTTTACACCCTCACTTAATTGTGTAGGAGCAACTTCCGGATGCACCATACGTTTTAAACTATTACAAACTAGTGGGACGCATGGAATTATAGACAGTGATAGCAATTCCATATGAAATTTTTCTTCAACAACCCTACCAAGAAATGCAGCACCAGCTGTTTGCTGTTGCATTGTGCCGGTTGCAGATATTATGATTGGTCGCTTTTTATTTACCAAACTATCAAGCGTCCAGGTGGGTTCGTAATCAGTAAAGGCCTTCCTTACCAACTCCTTGTCCGCAATAATTTTAACACTGTAGCGTCTGTTAAAACAAAAGTATATCATTAGCCACTTCGAGTAGTTTTTTTATAGCAATGGTTGCATACGCTGAATATGTCTCATATAACAGAAAGTAAACTGTATTGCTGTCGCTATCGAATTCTAATGCATGAGGGAATAATAATCCAATAAATGTTGAAACAATAGATTGCATTATGCCAACTTAAAAAATTACAAAAAGGAATATGTTTTCTGAAATCGAACATCTGCATATAATTTAAGATTGGGTGGTACAAGCAATTAACACAAATTCAGGTACAAGCTATTGTATCAGGATTAATGCATCCAGACAAGTAGCGATTTAATGTAACATGCCACATTTAAAAATCACACGATATATGCAACCAAAAAATTACAAAGTCTGTATGTACCAATTTAAATTCCATACAGATTCTCCCACTTATCAGTATGTTCAGTATGTTCAGTATCTTGGGCTTAGTTAGCTGTTAAATTTTTTAGTTTTATTGTACAATGTGCAACAATAGAAAAAGTTACTCTTTATTCCAAAAGACTGACGTTAATATGTTCATACTTAATATGCCCAAGTTCTCATATTAAATTGTATTCTCCTTCAAAAAAATCTAATTCAATAAAAAAATTATAGACTACCAAAAATTTGATTTACATACAATGTTACACACACCAGAGTACAGATAAGGGTTTCTTCACACAGTAATTTTATTGACTCCATAAAACGTTTGGATCAATGATTGCTAAAAATAAGTTCTAGTTGTTGCCTTTATAAGTTCAACAATCCAAATATACTTCTTAAGAAGTTGTCGTGAAAAAAAAAGAGTTACTTTAAAAAGGCAAAAGAATTTTAAAGATTTTAAGACTATATTTGCATATGCCTTTTGTACATTTTGTGCCTGTGTGAATATTTTGAAGTGACATTGACTTTTGGTATTACTAGTTCTTCAAATAAAAACGAGATATTAAAGCACTATCTTGTGAGACAAACTTTTTTTTTATTATTGGCAATGATTTTAGTATGCCGTACGTTGCAATATTCAAAATCGCTCATATTTGCTGTCTAAAAATACTCAGGGGTAAGCACACATTTCTGTGTCAAATATTACTATGTGTACATTGATAGAGTTTCGATTCCAATTTTTTAAGAGCCAATGTTTAATTGAAGTGTCAGAAGTACAAGTATCTATATTGAAACATTCACACGGTATGCTATCTCTTAAAATGATAAATTCTGATTAGTTTGTAATACTTCATACAAAAGATCATATGACGGATTAATCGTATGATAGAGTTTTTAATTAAGAAATGTCACTACTGTACTGAAGTTTCAAGATAGGATATTTATCGTAAGAGTGGCTTGTGATTCTGCGATTCTCGTGGATATCTCCGATTCTTAATTATTCATGCTTAATTTTCGACAACATTTGCGATTCCCGTGTAACAGAAAGAGCTATAAAACCTTTTGCATTCTACACAATTATCATGCACAATTAATTTATTATTAACAAAATGCTTTCGGGAGAACTCAGCGATTCAAGTATTACCATGGCCCCCATGTTCCGCATCACGTCTAGACATGTGTCTATGGAAGCCAAGGCTGTCGACTCGGGTGTCAATGTCAAGTTGTTCACCTCAAACCCAGTTTTTCAGTATTACTTTTTGAGATTTTGTTCTGTTGGGGCAAAGCACTATATCACTGGTAATTTTCAGTCATATCAATTCCAAAAATTTGAAGTAACATTTCTTTTATTAAAAGGACCTTTGAATATCACTGCTTTCACTTTTGATGACTCTAACAGAGCATTTTGTAGTGTCAAATTGAATGTCCATAACATCAGACCTTTGGCCATTACCGACGAAGAGGGAAACGTCATTCCCACAGACGCAACAAGAATCAGACTTCGTGATATTGAGTCGTTACCTTTGACGAAGTTCAAATATCTGGTTCACAAGTATGTGTGGGAAAATATCAGCAATGATAAGATTGTTTTTGGCAATACCACAGAGAAGGGTACACACAATTTGGACTCTTTCGCCAAGGCTTTGTCGACCATGCATGACGCTTTAGGTACGCAAATATATGTTCTATTCGCTTATCATGAGAAGTAATACTCACATTTATTTATTTTTTCAAATAGTGAACAAGAAACTTATCGTTGGTGGATTTAATCCAGTTTCAACGACTGAAAAAATTTCTCGTCCTGAAACCAATGCCTATGGTAGGCCTGTACCCAGGACCACACAGACTGTCTACTCTTACAATCTTGAAGTTAAGAGAACTGATTGGAGTGATCCAGCCTTCACTCTTCAGAATCTTCTGAACGAAAATCTTCCTTTCCCTGTTTCCACTTTTTGAATAAAGATGCCATGGATTGTTAACTTTTTAGCCTTTAAAATAAAGTTTTGCATGAATCGCACATGATGTTACTTATAAAATCTAATTATACAAGTGATTGATAAACAAAAACGTGCAATATGTAAATATAAGTTTACTGTAATACTATTAGTAGTGCAGCATGTAAAATTTTGGATAACATTGAACAGTATATAAATGCACTACCAAAAAATAAAATCTTTCTTCATTAATTAACAAATTGTTTTAAAACATGTTCTTCTCATTCCGTGTTGGTGATAGAAATCTTTCTAGTTTTTCCAAAGTACAGCAAAAGCAAATCAATGACTTTCAAAAGTTTATTAAGGAAAAACCCAATGGTTTCTGCTGTGTATGTATGAAGGTTTTATATCCAGAAGAAGAAAAGTTTCGTTTTATCAGAGAGCCCAATGCTTTACCCTGTGTTGACTGGAATTTGCAACCAAAAGTGTGTCCCTCCAATGACACCAAGTATATGGTTTGTGGTACTCATTTCAAAACTGAAGAAGAAAAGTTTATCAAGTACACGTATCCAGGTTGGTTAATTAAAATTACGGATGCATTCATAGGACTAATTTGTAACCAAATTTAATTAGGCGAAACTCTCCCTCAAACCAAAGACTTAAACTACAGAGAAAAGTCCGTATTGTCCCCTATAAAACTGATGTCTCAAATAACAAGAAAAACAACATTGTACAACGGTCGAATTGGTCATTATGAGCTTAAGGGTTCCGTTTATAACACACATAACTTTGAATTTGCCGAGATGGCCTACGGTGGTACTCTCAGTCTTTTTTTCCAACGTGGTGATCCAGCCACTATTAATAAAATCAAGGTCACTGCTGCTTATGAGGCTCTCCAAAAGGTTAATCCTCTTATTGCTCGTTATAGTCTGCCCAAGCTTACGTACGCTTTGGTCAATTACCATGTCTATGAGAACAGCAAATTTATTGGTGCTACTGATGGATGGAGAAACAATGCACTCTTTGCAAAAGATGATACAAACCCCCAAGCTACTGATGTAGAGTTTAAAGATCTGATTATCGGAGAAGATAGCGTTGGAAAATATGTGAGGTATTCACATCCAAGTTTGATTGCTTTGCTGTTCCCAGATCTTTTTCCCCATTGTAAAGGTCACTATTCTATGGTTCCATCAAATGTACCTGAATTTGAGAACTTGACTGGAATTTATGGTATTCCGGAAAATCGTGGTGGTGTAGCTGCCTCTACTTTAAATGGTGAAACACTAGCCAGCTTTGCTAAAAGTCGTTTAATGTTAAAAGATCGTCGCTTTGCAATGGATCCATCTTTTCTCTTTTTTATGCTTGATTCCATAGAGAAAAAAAATATTGCTTCCGCCAATAGGTTCGTCGTATCTACAAAAGGCAGAGGAAATTTGAAAAAAAGAGACATTGTAGACAGTGTTACTAAACAGCTCAACAAGAATATTGTGTCAACGGTTCCCCCACAAATTCGTTCATCCTATGCGTACAAGCGAAAAAATTTCTTGGACTTGCAATGTATTTTTGAAAACCTCGGTTCACCACAACTTTTTTTGACTTTCTCATGTGACGACAAGAGCAGCGATTTCAAAGGTTTAGGTGATGCACAAAATCCTTGGGAAGATCCAATTTTGTTTTCTCTTCATTTTAAAAGAAAATGGCAGAAATTTTTCCAGAAGCACATTCTTAAACATTTTGCTGATCAAATCGGAGGTATCCAGGAGTATAGTTGGGTCATGGAGATACAAGACAGAGGTAGTCCTCACATTCACTGTGTACTTTGGACTGTAAAAAACGTTCAAGAGCTTATCAATCTCAACATCGTTCATACTTGGTTTCCATCCGGCACGTCTTTTGATGACCCTTTGTTACACGGACTTGTAAACAGACTTCAGATCCACAAGTGTAATCTCAAGTAAGTGAACCCAAACTGATTTAAATGTACGATAATTAATTTTTTATGGCCACTTTTAGTTATTGCAAACGAGGTGACCCATTGAGGAAGTGTCGTTTTGGATTTCCCAAGCCATACGCTCCTGAGACTGAAATGGATGTTGATCATCGTTGCACTTATAGGCGTGATGTTGGTGATGGAATGGTGAATAACTACAATCCGTATCTTTTGGCCACTTTTCGAACTAGCATGGACATTCAGTATAACGATGGTCCTCAAGCTGTACGCTATCTAGCCAAGTATCTTGCCAAAGATGATTATGAAGCCAAGGTTTTATTGAAAAATGTTCAGCAAAAAAATTCTGGGTATTATAAGAAAACGTCCTTTGTGTCTGAAAAAGATCACTATACAACGAGAATTGTTGGCTCAGTTGAGGCGGCATATGATGTGATGGGGTGGCATAAACATAGGAATTCAAGAGGCGTTATTTTTTTAAACACCAATCTCGTAACTCAAGATACAAGACGAATTAAAAATGATATCAAGGATTTGGATGAAAACACTACCGAAATATACATGCGAACCCACGTTGGTAAGTTACTACTCATCGTTTTGTGACGAAGAAACTAATTTTTTTTTTTTTTTTTTTTTTTAGAAATCTATGAAAAGAGATCTGGTGCAAAAGATGTTAAATTTCCTGATTTTTTTTGTTTCTATACCAGGGCTGCTGGTACCAACGATGATTCTGATGAAAGACCTGAGGTTCTACCAGATGAAATTGATCACGTTGCCACTGATTTCCATGATAGCGATTTACCTAAAATTGTTTATTCGGGTAAAGATGAATATGTTTTAAAACGTGGTAAACGGCTCTTCTGGAGAACATTCAACCAAAGTGAAATGAACGGTGAAAATTTTTACTATCAGCAAATTGTCTTGAAGTATCCAATTTTCAATACGACATTTGAAAAGCTTAAGGAGCCTTTTGGCACATGGCGAGGTAATTAATTGTAATCTTTTAAATTATCTTTTGAGCTAAGATTTTTATCCGTACTCAGATTTTTATGAGCACCTGGTAAATCTTGAAGTTGGGGGTATTACTTTAAGTAGATATGTAAATATTCAAAATCTTGACGACGTTGCCGATGTAGAACGAGGACTTCAAGTTTGCAGAGACGAACTTCGGGTTATGTTGAGTAGTGCAAAAGGAGATCAGAAGAGCCTGTACTATCAATTAATCAGAGAAATAAAAATTAATTCTGCTGCTTTTGTTTCCGGTGCTGCTGGTACTGGAAAATCGTATGTTCTTCGTATGCTAGAAAGATACTTCCGCTTGAAAGGGTATAAGGTTTGTCAGAATTAAAATGTCTGTCAAGCTTTTTTATTTAATAAATCCCATTAAAAATAGGTCTTCAAATTAGCTCCAACCGGTGTAGCCGCTCATAATATCACAGGTCTCACCCTGCATCGTTTTTTTGGCATGACCAACAAGTCAATGGTACCAAATTATCAGTCACTGGATCAGTATGTCAAGTTATATCCAAAGTTATTGCTTTTGGTAGATGAATACTCCATGATCAGTTCAAAGATGTTAGATTCCATAAATGAAGCACTTATAAAGTCAACTCAACGATCTTCTATAATGGGTGGTGTCAAGACAATTTTTTTTGGTGATATAGCTCAGCTTTTACCTGTTCAAAAACATGAAGGAACAATGTGGCAGTCAGAAATTTATAATTCCGTCAACAGATACAATTTAGCTGACCCTATCCGCCAAAAAGAAATCCGGTTTATCGAAATCTTAGATAAAGTTCGATTATACAATTTTGACCAATCAGTCATTGAATTTATCAACGAAAGAACCATCTTAAAATCCAATTTACCAGTGTATTGTTTGCGCCTGTATACAACCAGAAATAGAGTAAGAACTGCAAACGAAAAAGATTACGCTGAATTTCCGGGTGAAGGCTACGCCATTGAATCCCACGATACATATATTGGAACCAAAGGTACAGCATCTCGAGCATTGAAAGATACACGGTTACTACAGTTTCTCTATTTAAAAGTTGATATGCCAATCATGTTAATTCAAAACTTAAACACTGCGCATGGTTGGGTCAACGGTACAATCGCTACTATCGAATTTATCGAAGATGATAATATCTGCTTAAAAAAAATAATCCGAAATTCAGATGGTTTAGAAGAAGAGAAAATTTACTGGATCCAACGAATCACAAGACAAGTACCTGGTACCAGCTACACCCGATCCCAATTTCCGATTGTACCTGCCTTTGCGTCAACAATCCACAAATCTCAAAGTGCCACCATTGATTGCGTTGGTATTCATCTGGATGACATGCTCACCCATGGTCAGCTGTATGTTGCAATGTCTCGAGTTCGAAAAATGGAAGACTTATATTTTTTTGGAGCCGATTTACCTATATGTATCAAAAGAAGATACGGGTGTGAAGCAGATGCAGTTGAAATTATTAGAAAAAGAAGAAAACCCGTATAGCAAATATGCTCACGCTACTCTGATGCATACATTATTTAATTCAAACATATAACAAGTATACTTTAACCAAACACTATCAATATCTTTTAAAATAAAAACCATATCATAATATTAAGCCTTGAGCTGCGCACGTCAGATTAGCCTAATTCCTTTTGTTGACCCCATTTATTCTTTCTAGGATCCCGTGAGGGGGTCCTTTAGCTTACCGTCCCGGGAGGGATGGCGAGGATTAGCATTGATTGGCCAAAATAATGTAAAACATGAAATTGCGTTAATTATTAAATTCTTAGTCATAAGAGCTTAATATATAAAGTAGTGTACTCAACAATTGAATACCTCTTAATAAAGATTTTAAAGATCCAGTGCTATTTTTCGAGAACGGAAATTATAATAACAATAACGAGAACGTGAAAAAAAACAGATCAAAGCACATTTAATAAAAGTCGCTACCATGCAGGACGGATTTTCTTATAAATTTATTTAATTTCTTTACTTTCAGTGACTGGATTATATGTCCATCACTATAAATAGGCATTCGTAAGACCTCCCTTTCAATAAAAATTCTCATCTATTATCTTACTCATATTTCAATACTTTCACCTATTCGTTTTATATATTATTTAGCTCTATTATCATTATGATTGATCCCTTGGTTCTATATTATCATTGTATCTTTTATTTATAAACGTATAAGACTATACGTATTTTCACTTATTTTCAGCTCAGCTTCTGATTAAACTAGCTCTGGTGCTCAATTAGCTCGCAACTCTAAAGAACTTTCTTTACTAAACTTCTATTTTATTTAAAGAATCCCTTTAATCTCTATTATCCTACTCTCATTCTCTTCCAAAAACTAAAGTATATTTATTGTCACGTTTCTGACAGACTGAGTCTGCTTGCGTATAAAAGGAAGCAATTGATGTCAAATTTGTGTCGATTTTTTTTCTCTTTATCGCAAAACTATCAAAATGCCCGAGCCAATAAAGAACCAGGTTAAAAAAATGTTTGATGCATTGAAACAACATTTTAAGTACATAGTATGGTTGTTCATGTAAAAGAACATAGCTAACTGTATTCTATAGATCCAAATCAGCATACCCAAATAATAATGGAATGTTTGGATGAAGCAGAGATTACTTTGCCAGCGAAAGGTTAGCTCTTTTTTATTCTTTAAAAAAAAGTATATTTATGCATGTACCTTAACATGTACATAATCAGATCAATCAACCGTATTGTCTGTTGAAGGAAGACCAAAGGCAACACCAAGAAAAATAGTGGTATTAGAAGAGGCCAGTGCCAGTGGTTCTGGTAAAAAACCAAGAAAATCAAAAAAACCAAGTAAACACAACAAGAATCCATTCATCGATGATGAAGCTGGCTGTTCGGAGGAGGACGATAATCATCGTCAGCCTAATGACTACACAACCAGTTGAAAACTTTAAATATTTCTTAAATTCTGCACCAAAAAGTAAATTCCCGTGTCAGAATTTTTTTTTAAAAAAATAAAACTTTGCGATTGGGCGAAAAAACAAAATACGTGATTGAAGGCCAGATGTTATGAAATAAACAACTGAATGAAGGTTTTGTGCACCTTGAAAACTAATTTAGCGTCTTTTATGGGGGTCAGGATAGCGATTCGTGCAGCTAAGCATTTTTATTGGATAACAAAATGGAAGAGACTTTTATTTTTTTTGAAAAAATGACATGTAAAAAAAACAAAATGATTAGTTTCTTTCATTTTCTAAAATTTGGAAATAACGATTAGTGTTATGGAGCCACCAGAAAGTACCGAACTTGCACTTGTTGATAAGAGAATACTTGACAGTGTCAATCTCAGTTTCCTGAGACATGTCAAGTAATTCCACCACAGTCAGTTTATACTTCAGCAAGTCCAAGATTTCTTCAGTTTTCTTGGTGAGGAGATTACCACCTTCGTCAGCTTGATAGACAGAAATGAAGCTACTGTCATCGTGAATCACGAAGGCTGGCCTGGGAACAAGTTCATACACCTCAACAATAGCCTGATCGCCGCGAAGGTTTACCACCTTTCCAAGCAGAGGACGCGCCCCAAGAGAATCCAAGTCAACATCGAGAATAGCCGTCATGTTTGAAGCAATCTTCTCTCCAGCAATATATTCAGTACTGCCGAATTCCCGATTAGCAGAATAGTATATGTTTTTACTGTACCTATTGAACCACGCTTTGACAAGACTACCACAAGTTTTCATACCGTTATCCCAAACATGACCCATCGCAATAATTCTCAGCATTACCTCACGACTGTTAATAAGAGCCAAACGACGAGAAGGGTTTTGTTTGTTGGTCTTCATGACAATTGCCCTAATGTGTTTGTTGAATTGCTCGTTCTTTTCAGTTGCGAGAAGCACAGGAGAAGCAAATCGAAGACAATCCTCTACCAAATGGACTATCAAATGAGTCTTTAAACGATTACACAATGGGCCTCTAGTTTTGGCGTATGGAATCGTAGCAACATTACATTGTTCACCAGAAAGATCATAGATCTCTTCAAAAGTAGTTTGACTGGGCACTGATGCAGTTGTCGTTGCTGTTGCTGGCTCTCCACGAGTACGTCGGTTACTGGGAAGAACGGTACGATCAAGGTTATCCAGAGCAATAACAGTATCATCAACGCATTGACGCAATAAATCGAGATAGGCAGAAACGTTGGTATGTATTTAACAGTTATAACACAATGAGTAGAGCTCACCAAGCTTGTCCAAAGTACTAAGAACGTTATCCATTCGGTGGAATTGATCATTACGAAGGTTGAGGAAATCAATGAGGTCACGAGCAACTCTGAGAACAATTGGGAGCATCTGAAACATAAGTTTGAAGTCTCTTCCAAGAAAGCCTTTGTATCCTTTGAGATGCGTCGACAAATTGGTAAAAGCCTTAGACCCATACTATGCACACAAATAACTAATGCGATCAACCTGCGTCTTGTTGAAAAAGCAATATGCCGCTTTGTTGAACGTGTATTTGATTAAACCGAGACATAGGCTATGCAGAATTTCTACCGGTGTATCCTTGCTAGGATCCCAAGAAGACAACGTCAAAAGCCTTTTGCCAGAAGTTTCCTTCAAGCCGAGGTCCATCAAGTTTTCGACCATGATATAATCACCCTGTATGTTACGAACACGTATCGAGGAATCCGTACTATCCAAGTCATTGTTTGGAACTGACATGTGTTCTTCGGTATTGGTAATTCTATTAGGCTCAAAAGCATCAGCATGTAGACACCAGAAGCATTTTCTACACGGATAGGTAGCTGTTGAAGCTTTCAAACAAGAAACCTCGGCATGACAAAGATTGTCAGCCGTGATAAACAAAAGAGGAGCAACAACAAAGACTTCTTCCTGGAAAATAGCATCAAACATCGGCAGACCAGTTTCCAGTTTCTTCAAATCGGGGACAAGGGAAGGCAACTGTTCCAGAGCAGTATGACAATTTGATCCATATATAAAAAATTGGTTCAAATAATGATTGGCAACCCTAAGAGGAACAGCGGCGGGATTCGTCGACCACGAATACAAACAATTCCATTTTGATGTGGAATTACCACTGGTATCATCAGAGAAAAGGTTGTACGGAATTACTCTAACGACCTGGTAGTTTGGCGAATTGGGATTTATGCTTCTTATACGTGATCTAATGGGCAGTGGACGCTTGTACTTATTACCAGTATCAATCATGTTCTGGTGAGCGCGAATCAATCGAGTATTAGCAACAACATCTCTAGAACAATGATAA